GACAATTGCTTGATGTTCAGATGAATCTTGTAATGTCTCCTTGAATTTGACAATTGCCTTTTTTGATTCTTTCTTCGTCTTTTTACCAAGGCAGAACTCTTCTGATGGGTTTTTGACTAGCTCCTTGTTATCTATCTGTATTTCATTAGAAAAATGTTATAAAATTCACTGAGAGAAATAATTCAAATAAGGAAAATAAAATTCATCTAAATGATACTAATGGGAAACAAACTTTAGAGAAAATTGTATAGGCCAGAGAAAATGACAGACAATGAGTTAATTTTATGAGGCAGAGAAAATTATGAAACAAGCAACATAATTTAGATATCAGAGAAAATCAATCAAGGCATATAAGTTAATGTTTGACTATAATTGTGTCAGAGAAATTTGGATTCCAGATAAAATTCATTAGAAGGGTAGAAATAAACAGTGTTTATCAAAGATGCAAGACACATAAGTTATGGACCAGAGAAAATTACACACAAGGAGAAACAATTTTATGGGCCAGAGAAAATTATGAAACAACTAACAAAATTCAGATATTAGAGAAAATCAATCAGGGCATATAAGTTAATGTGTTACAATTGTGGTCAGAGAAAATTGGATTGCATAGAAATTTAGATTGCAGAGAAAATTGATTACAATAGCAGAAATAAACCAGTTGGTACCAAAGAAGAAAACATAAATTGATAGTTCAGAGAAAATTGATCTTAATCAATCAATGCACAAGGGGGGAAACAAAGCAGTGGTCAGAGAAATTTTGAAATTTCACTGAGATTTCAGTAGCGATAAGAATTTAACCTGTCGAGGTAAAAGAGAGTGGACTGGTGTCTTCTGCAGCTGTTTCGTCAAGGTTTGCAGGTTCCACTTGGCACATCTTGGAAGTCAGTTGTGTTACCGTCTTCCGAGTCAATGATAGTTGCATGTTCACATGGCCAATACTGTGATGAAAATTAAAGTAAATAAAATTTTCTAAACGCACAAATTTGTAAGTATGATAACTGCAAATTTGAATGGATATTATACTTACCAGCAATGCAATGACACACCTTTTAACTTTTTCTGGAGTTTTGTGCAATGCCATGATAGAATCAATCAATGTTGATGTGATTGCTTCTGGCCAATCATACTGTTTCATTGATTCAAGAGGTTCCACATACTTTATAAAAACCCACCCTATTGAATTCCCACTTGTTGCAAAAAATAAGGTGAGACACAAGTACAATGTAACAATGATTGCTACATCTTTGAAGTCAGTTGGTTGCTTGCCTTTCATTGCTTTGACCAAGGCATTTTTAAGAACAGGACCAATAAACCTTGTGTCCTTTTGGAATCTTCTCCTTAGAAATACAGATTTTGACTTTTTAGAGTATCTTAATGACATGGCTCCTTTACCTCCTTCCAAACCAAAAATCAAGATCATGTCATTTGTTGTAAAGGTCAGGTTCTTCTTACCAATTGTGAATATTTTTGTTTTTTCATTGTAACATTGGATTATGGCAACTACATCATCATTGGATTTCTTAGATTTCTTTGGATCCATCCTTCTAGTGGTTAGAGCTTGGATCAAATACCAAAATGGGATCTTTTGAAGCTCTACAAGTTGTTTTGAATTGAATTTAAGTGTTTGAAAAAAGGAGACAACAGATGAGAGGTTGGATCGGAATTGAATGCTGTAGTGAGCTCTCTTTCTATGGAGTTTAACAAGTTTTTTCCCCCTTGAGCTTGAGTCTTTTGAAGTTGGAGTACTCATCTAGATGCTAGTTGCTTCATCACCTTGGACTTGTGTGTTTTGGCAAGGAGTTTGTGGTGTTTTGCTGCTGATTTTTGATCTTAGATCATAAGAACACTGAGAGAGTTGTTCTTTCTTGCTTGGTGTTTCTAGTGTTTTGCTGCTGGTTTTTTATCTTAGCCCATAAGAAGACTGAGAGAGTTTCTATTTTTTGCTTGGTGTTTCCGGTGTTTCGTTGCTTTTACGTTTTGCCATTTCTAGACAATGATTAAAACATAAATATGTCAACATTAAATCCCAGAGAAAATTGAACATGCTAGCGAAAATTAGACATGTCAGAGAAAATTACAGATAAGGGAGAAAATTGGAGATGTCAGAGAAAATTACAGATAAGGGAAAATTACAGAAAATTGGACATGCCAGAGAAAATTGGACATTAAAAATTAAATGTCAGAGAAAATCAACAAAGCATCATAAAACATGGAAGAGAAATTTTCAATAATTGTTAAAATTACATATAGAAGTAAACATACCAAAGAAAATGAATGACAGAAAAAAGTAAACATGGTAAGCCAAAGAAAATTTCTATTCTACAATTAGCAAGATAAAATAAACAAAGTAATGTAAACATGCCACTAAAAATTACACTACATTGAAATCAAGAATTGAACAAAATAAACATACTAGAGAAAAATACACATTCCGGAGAAAATTACACATTCTTGAGGAAATTTCCATTCCAGAGAAAATTTCAATTTATAATATTAAAATTCCAGAGAAATTTACATACACAACAAGAGAAAATTAACCATGATAGAGACACACAAGGGAGGAAAGTGGTGTGATGTGATCAGAGAAAATTATAACTACCAGAGAAACTTAGACAGGCAAGAGAGTAATAGACATTCCAGAGAAAAATACATATTCCAGAGAAATTTACAAAACAGAAAAATTCATAGACAAAATCACATAAACATGTTCAAGAATAAGATCAAAATACAGAGAAATAACTTTTTCTCAAAATACACATGTCAAAAAAAATTCAAAGAAGAAACATTCATTCCAGTCCATAATATTAAAATTTTAGAGAAAATTAAACATGATAGAGACACACAAGGGAGGAAAGTGATGTGATGTGGTCAGAGAAAATTATAAATATCAGAGAAACTTAGACAGAGGTAAGAGAGTAATAGACATTCTAGAGAAAGATAGACATTCCAATTAAAAATACATATTATAGAGTAATTTACAAAGCAGGAAAATTTATAGACAAAATTATAGAAACATGTTCAAGAATAAGATAAAAACACAGAAAATTACTTTTTTCAAAATAAACATGCTAGAGAAAATTGAAAGAAGAAACATACATCAAGCAAAAATCAGAAAAATTCAAATGCGAGAGAAATTTACAGATAAAATCACACAAACATGTTCAAGAATAAGTTCAAAATACACAGAAATAACTTTTTCCAAATTCAGGTAGCTTTTTATTACGAAATTGAAACCTTAATTTATGGAAGGTTAATATAAAATACTATTAACTATGTTTCCAGAGAAAATCTAGTTGTATTGTATAAAACTTACAAGAGTTAGGATGAAACTTGAATGACGAGCTGATATGGCCTGAGATGAAGATACGACGTGACGAAGATAAACTAAGATGACGATGAGCAGTGAAAACGAAGCTCTAATGAAGGTCAGAGAAATTTGTAAGGAATGAATGGGAATGATTTTTGTAGAAGATAACGAAACTCTAATGTCGATGGTGAAGATGATGTTGAAACCCTAATTCTGCTGTTCTCCTGTTCATGAAGATGCTGGATGCTTGGAATGGAACTAAGACGTCGGAATGAGTTTCGTTTCTGTGTTGATTTTGGCAAGGGTATTTTGGTCGACAAAATAATTAAAAATGCACGCCAAGTTGTTCAGGGACCTAATGCATCACTATTTTTTTGGGTGTCCTTTATCCTCTAAATTATTATTATTAAGGACCATAAAAAAAATTCCCCTAAAAAGTAATGCTAGAAATCTCAAAAAATTTATCAAATTTTTTACCAAAGTCTCACACTCATGTAAAACATTTGATAGAAAATTTGGTAAACTTTTAAAATCTCTAAAATTTTTCTAACATAAATCAAATTGGACAACTAAATTGTAACAGTCCAACAATAGCTGAAATCACCACAAGAACTAGTCTAAACTTAAAAAATAAAATAAAATAAAATGAACAACTGCATATATTCCCATAATAAGTGCGAAAAAAACCTCTTATATGATATCAAATTCTTTTTCATAAAATTTAAATCGATAATCTTACACTGTAAAAATAGCTGCACAGGTCCAAAGTCTCCCATCTTAAAAAAAAAAAAAGTCCAAATTCCAAATTCCAAATTCCAAATTCAACCATCAGTAATCAAAGCATGTATTATTATTACGGGTCAAAAATTTTAGGAAAAATTGCACTTTAGTACAAGTTTAGAAAAAAAATAAAAAAATACAAATCAATGAAAAATTTATCAATTTTAATAATTAATTATAATTTTTCCATAAATTTGCAAATATTTTATAAAAATACTACTAATTTGCAAAATTTTCCATTTTTTAGACTTCCCTCTGTGTTTCTTGGTGATGTGAAAGGTGCCCTTATATGTGATTAGGAGGTTGCTTGGAATGATTTACATAAGTGTACTTTTTAATTCTTTGGTTAAAAAAAATTAAGAAAAAAAAGTTGAGTGTTTGGAATAACTTTTTAATTTTTTACAAAAAAATGTGCATTATAATATTGTAATAAATATGTAAATTACTGTATTACCCCCATGCCCCTGTGCGTATCGACAGTGCCTCACGTGATGGCCAATACGGCTTGGTTTTTCAATGTGGAACGGCTTGACCTGAGAAGATATATATGCACAAAGTTTAAAATTTTATTTTATTTATTTATTTTTTTGTACATGTTTCCTATTCACACGTGATGTCTAAGTTATACTTGTTCACTTCAATTTGTGGCAAAATATTTGGTTTTTTTTTTCTTTTCACCTGCTTGTGCAAATATTTTATTTTAAATTTTTTTTTCTAATTTTTTTGATTATGTAACAAATTTAAAAAAACAATTACAATGTATTATTTTTTGTAAGTTTTATTTTTTTTTAATTATTTTGATTATGTAAGAAATGTAACGTGTGTTTATGTAAGAAATGTAACGTGTATACAAAATTGAATGGTGTTGGTTATTGCAATATTTTTTTAGTTGTTGCAAATTTGGTACAACAAATTATTTCATTATAATTAATGATATAATAATAGAATCACTTTCAACAACATACATCAGTGTTACACAACATACAACGAATATAAGACCCGCCACAGCAACAAATGCATCGGCCTTAAACGTGCCCTTGCTGTCACAGTGCATATGTAATATTCGCTTTAATAGTTGCCATATGGGAATTTGAGTCCCCTGACTCTATGATATCACCAACCTAGGTGTATTCGGGATGGTCGGGCATTTACGGCGCAACGTACTTATCGTCGTCTGGGATTTCTGGCATGATCGTATCAAATTGACTATTCCGGCGTATAAAGTTATGTAAAGCCATCGACGCACATACAAAGGGCACTTGATCAAAAAAATTTATCTTCGGCACATTCGGCAAAGGCCCCCACCTCGACTTCCAAGCACCAAATGTTCGCTCGATACAACTACACAAGGACGAATGTGCCTTGTTGAACCGTTCAAACACGTTTTGTGGTATTCGGTTGTGATAGGCATTTTGATGATATCAATACCCTTTGTGCGGGGCTAAATATCCTGTCTTGTTGTTGTACCCGCTATCGACCAAGTAGTATTTTCCTACACATGTAGAACAATATAACTGATAAATATGAAATGGTAATTTTTTTAAATCGTATAATGACTTTTTCACTTTAAATTGGTCGCAATTTCAAACTTCAAATCATATGTTGAACCAGTAAAAAAAACATGTATTGTTCGTACTTGTATATCCCCAACTTGTTTTTTTGTTAGGACGTACTCCTACATTTTTTTAATTCTTATTTGAAAATCGATATAATCTGGTATTTATAGAACCAAAAACATTTTGTTACCATCACCTATGTGATTAATTTTTTATCTCTTGTCAAGTGCATTGTCAAGCGGAAATTTGTGTCCAAGTGTGAGGGTGTGGGAATCGATGTTTAGGCTTGGTTGTAATATAGTGCAACACCCTGTTGTCGTGCATGCTCCCGTCCTAACTAGCAGACACAAACATGAAGCACAAATCAAAGTCACAAAAGACAATAACATTTTGCATTGGCACACCTTTCCAACCGTAGTGTGAGGAGGCATATTCATTGGAGACACGGGCGATAACGTGAGTGTCATCTAGTGTCCCAATGCAGTCCTAAACAAGTAAAAACTGCAAAATGTAACTTCTTATTGCATATGTTATGAATGACTTTGTCGCATAAATTTTTTTACATGGCATTACCTTGAATGGCCGGTACTGCCGTTTAGAGCGTAAATGTGGATGGCCCCCATGTTGGACTTGATCGGGTCCTACTCTGAATTGACATAGATGGTATCATAACTTGCAAAACCTCATGGAAATGCCATGACAATGTCTCCTTTGAGTGTTGGAACCGTTCTTGCAAATTCCTCCGTGAAATTCCCTACAAAACAGAAATGAAAATTGCTACATTTTCTTCGAGCGGCACCCCATGCTCCCACTACGGTGCTGTCAACCCAAAATTGTGTAGAGCATCACACAACTTCAAGAACACTGGTTGAGACATACTGACTGCATCTTCAAATTGGACTTGCTGGCCATTAAACAACTCGTACATCTATAATCGTCCCGACAAGATTGATGTATTTCGCAAGACTTGGTAGTAATTGTTGTAATAATACATTGCCGCAATGTTCCACGCTTCTACCAAGTTGTGATTAGTTTCTACAACCATTTCCCGCACAATTTCATCGATTGTTTCCTTTAACGGTGCATTTCTGTAGATGTTACTAGGACCGGCTTTATCCGCAATGTTACGTATACGAAGCTAAAAGGGTGACCAACAATGGAGGAAGAGAGAGAGAGAGAGAGAGAGAGAGAGAGAAGGGCTCTGCCAATCTTGCAAGCAAAATTGAATTTTAAAACCAATGTGAAGGAAAAGATAGGCAAGGACAATAACATGGCAGCCCCATGTAGGCTGCCTTGCCAAGGATTTCAATAAAGTGCATAATACAATAAATTTGTTTTACTAATATGAAAAAATATTTTACATTTTTCTGAAATGATATAATTTTTCTTACCACAAAATATAATATTTTTATACACTACAATAATATTTTGTTCACTTTGAAATATAAACATTTTCATTCAATACAATCATATATAATTTTTTTGACTATATGGTACACCCCACAAATTGAGTTGAACACTAATCAGTCAACGAATTTTCATAAAATAAATACTCATCATTATGTTTTATAATTTTTATCGAAAATGATTTTGAAAAACATAGTACTCTATTTTGAAAAAACTATTTCGACAATTATTAAGGCTCTATTTGGTAACCATTTTGTTTTCAGTTTTCAGTTTTCAATTTATATTTACAAAAAATTAAAAAAATTATCATAAAACTTATTTGATAATTTTTTTAGTTTGTAAATGGTTGTCGCAATTTATAAATTTGAGGAAAAAACATAAGCTCAAAAAATGAGTTTACATTGGTTTTTAAACACAAATTTAAAAATTTTACTAACAATTTTTTTTTTCAATTTATTTTTGTCAATTAACTTTTTTTTTCAATTAATTTTTTTAATTATTTTTTTTTCAATTATAATGTGTGTGATCCCATTGTCATAAAATAATAAAAAATAAATATGAATATTTTAAACCTGAACAAACATATTTTTTAGTTTATGTTTGTGATCAATTTTAAAACATTTTGTTTAAATCAAATACACGCAAAATCGAAGATTCTTTTAATGTGAAGAAAGAGATGGGTAAGGACAAAAGTGGCTGCCCCACGTGGGTTGCCTTGCCAATTTTTTGATTTCTCAATATAATATTTTTTGTACTAGTATGAAAATAAAAATTATACATGAATTATGAAATGATATAACTTTTTGTACCACAAAATGTAATATTTTTGTACAATATAGTAATATTTTGTTTACTTTAAATTTTCATAAAATAAATACTCATCATTATATTTTGAAAATTTTATCGAAATTGATTTTAAAAAAACATAAAAATACTCATCATTGTTTTGTAAAAATATTTTTCAAAAATTATTAAATACTCAGCATTATTTTGGAAACTATTTGTATTGGCAATTATGTTGCAAATATTAAATTCAGAAACTATTTTGAACAAAAAACAAAACCAGACTATTTTCGAACAGAAGTTACACAGCACTCCAAATGGAAAAAAAAAATCCTATTTTGTTTTCAGTTCAAACAAAATTTAAAAAAAGATTCAGAAATAGTGTAGTTCATCTAAACCATTTTAAAAATTGTGTTTAAACTGATTTGATCCAACTCTAATATTTGATAGTAGTTTTTTCAAAAATTGAGTCCAACGCATGATTGTGCTTTTTTACACGCTATTTAAATCACAGAGTGAGAACAATAATTGGTATTCAGTTTTATGCCATGCTATGTTTAAAAAAAAAAAATTTGCTTAGTCACGTACTGATTGGTGTTTTACATGGTTTGTTACAAAAAAAATATTGTGTAGTCTACAACAAATATGGTCCACATATGAATCTCGTCCCTACATGGAGAAATATGGTCTATGAATAAATGTTGCAAACAAAGTTCAAACAGTAACATGCATACTATTAAAATATAACAGAAATCCAATAACAACACATAATTATTTGCCAACACAAGCACGATAGGGAGGGGAAAAAAAGAGTAATAAAAAAATTCAGCATACATTCTGGAACAGTTTTTGTAAAATGCAGGAACTATGAGGTGGAACAACTCCTCAACACTAGCCCCCCATTCCGGATCCATACGTTGGGCAGCATGAGCCCCCGAAAATATGGGACTGCTTGATTCGAAGCCAACGAATTACCGCATCATCCGTGGGAAGCTGCAACATGATGGCTTGATTTGCCGGGTTGTCCATTAGGGAAACTGCAAAATCAATGAGCAGGTCATCCGGGCCAAGACCGTTCAGGGAGTACCACCTTGCTAGGCACTTGCCAATCACCTCCGGCGTCGAATGTGGGTAATCATGATGCACTTGGACCTCGCGTTGTTGTGATTTAATTGACAACGCAAGGTTTTCTATGTTACTCGCAAACTTCGAAGCTCCCTCGCTCTGCCCTTTTTTTCCGGCCCTTGAGTGCTACCTCCGAATTTTCGTTTCATCAGTTCAACCGTTGAAGTTTGTTCCATAGATACGGCACAGTCATCAACTGTGTGCTCACTGTGGGTGGCAAGCTAGAAAGGTGGCAGCTCACTGTTGTCATCGCAATCTTCTGCATCCATAGGGGATGGCACGTCTTTCGTTGCGACAGGGTTGAAATTAGTGTCGAGTGTCCAAGCAAAATTTCCCATTGCTGTGGCACCTTCGTACACCCTTCACATAAGTTCCACGTGCTCCAACGTCTTCGTTTTGAACTTCATAGCATTCTTGTCAATTTGGAAAAAAAAAATTACACACATGGAAGTAAATAATAATTGCTTTAGGAAAATATGAATGGCTATATCAAATATTGTTATATTGTAGTTAAGCAGCATGCAGAAGAGAAACTTGAAATGGTCAACACTACTATTAATCCTATTACCATTATTACTGTAAAATTATAGAGCCAAAGTGTGTTCATTGCAAATTGCTTCTTGGTAGGTTAAGATTGCCATTGCAGATTGCTTATGAAATGGATTTTTCTTGTTCGTGAGGCACCAAAGACAGGCTTTACAAGCGGGATGAAAATGAAAGGAAAGGACAGGGTTGATGGCAACAGAAACAAAAAAATTTCAGGCTGCATGATTTATTTACGTTGCTGTTAATTATTCAATGGTGTGGTGCATGGAATTGTTGTATAATAAAAATAATAATAATAATAATAATAATAATATAAAGAAATAGAATAGAGAAAAAAAATTGTTGTATAATGTATTTGTAAAAATGACTAGCTAAAATAATAGAAAAGTATATTTTTAGTCAAAATGTAGCTAAAAATTTAACAAATTTGATGAAACGCTCCTAAAAAAAAATAAAAAAATCCATAAAATGTTAAGTATGCTCTCATTTCCAGTAATAGGACATCCTTGGAGTTGATTTTGTGCCTTGTGGTCTCACAAAAATACTGTCAATCATGAAAATGTACTTTGAATCTTATCTTAAAAGTTATTGTGTGATATGATTTTTTTTTTATTAGAAAAAAACAGACTTTATTAATGAAATCAACACATATTATATATGAAATTACATCAATAAAAGGGATACAGCAATGCTAGATATCATGAAAAATCTTTTATGAAAATAGTCATGAAAAATTTGTGACCTTTGAATTATACTTACAATAAAGCACCACACACTAATCAAGGTAATCTAAGGGTCACAAATTTTTCATGATTCTTTTCATGACAAAATTTTCATGATCTGTAACATTTCTCAAAGGGATAAGAGCAAAAAGTATCATAGTAAAGTTTTATAATCCCAATTAGATTGACATCAAGAAAATCACTTAATCCTATATTAACTCAAGCTAAAAGAGTTGATGAGAGACCGACACAACAGAGGAAAAAACCAAACAACAAGCCTCAAAATAATCAACAAACAACAAACCTACACACTACAACAAATGGGGACCCCAACTAGCAATGCACGATAAAAGGCAACAGCCATACAGCAGCAGCAACATCAAATGATCAAGCACATCTCTATTTTTCCTCTTCTCCACCCACTCTGATTATAGTTATGTACAGCATATCTTACCTGATATATAGATATACGTTACTAATGGGATATGAATCACACAACATAGAATATTAATTATTGTTCTAAATATATAATATTGTTGATATTCTCATGGTTAGCGTCCTATTTAATTATATGATAAATTATACCCATACTCCTAAAGCTAATTCAGGCTATGACAAATTAATACTCATATGACTAAGCTGAAGGCTCAAACTGAGGGTTTGTTTGTTAGAAGACTCAAATTCTGAAGTTTTTTTTTTTTGTTTTTTTGGTCAAGCTATGTTTTTGTAGCTTCAAACAAATTATACCCATATGACAAATTATGCCCCAAAATAGACAAATTATACCCATAATGTACTCCTTACAAATTATACTCATATTACAATGGCAAAAACATATAATTAAAGCTACAATTGACAGGCGATGTTTTTGTTTTTTTTTTTTTTTGGTAGTCCGTTTAGTCATTGTGCTTCATAGAAATTTCTAGTCACACTTGTAAGAAAAAAAACAATTATAGTGCATGATTGAACCTAACGTGTAGATAGTTTGACATGGAATTGTGTTTCTAGGGAAAAAACAAGACTTGGAAACATTACCTTCTCATATTTGACCCACCTGATGCTTGTATCAACCAAGTTTCTTCGTTGTAACTTATGTCGGTTGGGACGTGCCTTGTGTCCATAAGGCGTGTGCATGACTGCCAATCTTTTTTCAGCAAGTTGTACTTGTTTTGGAGTTGCTTCACCCTATGGAACCTACCTGTACGGTCCTGGACAGCCTTGGACACAACCCTATAGCCATGCATTGTCATCGTATGGACACATTCCTTGTAACCGGATTCCAACTCCTTCACAGCCTAACTCCGTCCGAGTCCCAAATTGCTTTGTGCACATATGCGAACTATGGGTGCGACTGACTACTGCACTGCTTATGCAAATTTTTAGACAGTATTGACAACGTTCGGGATTGATCCATGTGGCTATAACATTGGAGCAATAATTGTGGCATACATGCATCATATAATGTAAAATGTAACATGCACAATCAGAATTAAAGAACATGAAGGAGAAGCAAATAATAACAAAGCGAATAAAGCGAAGATTGCATTGTCAATATGAAACTAGCATACTACACATTGTACTAGTCAGAAAACATGAAAAGTATAACATGGCAAATACATACAACCTACGAATCGAATCGAATCAAGTACAAAATAACAAAATAACAACGAAAATAGAATAGACGAACGTAACAATTTGTAGGAGATGCAAAAGAGTGTTACAGGTTGATGATGTCAGCCCTTAACTGGAAAACTATGTCCTTAAATGATTGTTAAGTGTCAGGCACGGATGTTTGGCCAAATTCGTCACATCAGCCAATCCAAGAACGACATGACTGAATAGACACATGTATTAGTGTAGTTCTAGAAACATGTAAATGGACTTGTGCATGTGAATACTCACCACTGCACAAGGGCATTGGTAGTAGGCATGACCTAGATTTCTTAAAGATCTTGAAATCTTCACAACACACATCTCAAAGCCCTAGGTACAGAACAACGCTATATGCGCAGACGTGGCAAAGGAAACAAATGAAACCATCGTTTGTTTTGGGAACAACCATAGATGAAAGCAATGAAATGACAACATGGACATGGTTTACAAGTTCTCTTATATATTAAATTTGCCTTGTGTGGACGTAGTGTATGTGTGCAACTATTTGGGAAACCATGCATTCGCGCATCCCCTCATACCAACCTTGTAGTTGCATCACATTTCATTAATCTGTTGATTATTGCAATATCATATGTTTCGTGATTTTTATGTCCAATTTGCATGCATTTCAGAAGAAAATGACAATGGTTTCCCTCATGTGTGTGAGATTAATTTGTTAATGTACTTTATTTCTTTATAATACCTTACTCCTGCAATATTGGGAATTTTCAGACAAAGAGTTTCAAGTGCCGCCAATAATTTGATTAGATTGTATAGTGTGTGTGTGTGATTAATTTCATAAGTAATCAAATGTTGTTGTTTTTAGTGGCCAACAGTTTAGATTTTTTACTACCACAAATGGGACTCATGTACATATTAGCAAAAACAAGAATGCATAAATATAATATAATAATTCTTAAACATTAATTTGAACAACTGTTTTTGGGTATTATTTAGGGTGAAAAGTTTTTTGCAAAACATGAAAACACATTAAAAAAAAAATTCCTTTTAATAAACAGTCAGTCTAATTATTTTGCACACAAAAAAATTGTCATATTATTTCCCCCCCCCTCCTCTTTTACAAGTGTCTGGATACACTTGTTCACAAAATTCATTTCCAATTGAAGAGAAATTTGTCATACCGTTTACACTTTAAGGTGAGGCAGTTGTGACCTTTTACAGTTTGTACTTGAAAGTGTAGGTAATTTCATACTTCAAAATAACAAGGATTGTTATAATAGCTGAGGAGTAGAACAATTCTGTGTCGCAATTACCAATTTTAGTAAAAATTAATAAAAAATTCACGAAAACAAAGGCCACAAATTTTAGGGAAAAATATGAGAGAAATAAAAATAGAGGTCAGAAATTTGACCACAGGATCGAACAAAAAACGGCAAAGAGGATAGAAATGAACACAAACACAATAACAACTTTGCCAAATGGTTAGCAAACCCAGATAATTGCAAACACAAATTCATATGCCAATCCGAAGTATGTAAGGCAAAAAAAAGATAAACAATGTTAACAAAAGGAGGATTTGTTACGGATTTTGTACATGGGGAAAAAAATAGTCACAAACGAAGCTGTTACCTTCTACTTTGGGGGGAGGGGGGGCTGAAATGGTGAAGATCTGTTCAGCGGTGGTGCAGATTTGGACGCCGATTGGTCCTTCGTGTCTGGTACTGGTGATGCTGTGAGGGAGAGGTGGTGGCGAAGCTTTGGTGTGAGCGTGACAGACAATTGTGTGTTAGGACGACTTTGGTGATCCTGTAAGGGAGAGGCTGTGGCAGAGCTCTGGCAGTCGGCGGTGTGTGCGTCACAAATTATCGCGCCTTCAATGACGACTGTGTACGCATGTATATGGAGAACAAGAGGAGATGCCGAGGTGAGAATGTGAAGTGCGTAGTTCTATGCCCTAGCTATAATTTATTCCCCCATTCTGCGAGGACTGGACAAAAAATGAGCATTTTAGTCGTTTTTGCCTCTGACTAGTGTTGTTGTTTTCCTGTCAAAAAAATTGTAAATAATATAAACTTTTTTGTTTTTGTAATGACTTTTTGACTTTTTTAGGTTAATCCAAATACCTACTAGGTACATTACAACCTTGCCAAACAAATATTACGAGTGCATTATTTTTCGTAATATACCTAATAATAAAAAATTATAAGAAATAAAATTAGGTGAACAATTTACTTTCTTTTATAAACTTTAATCATATATTTTATACTCACGCATTGTGTAAATTTTTATTAATGAATAATATTGTCACATAATATTATCATTATATTTAATTAGTGGTAACTCATACTATGCATGAGACTTTATAAATTAAAAATAAAAAAAATCATGATAATTTTCTTGAAATAATTTAATATTTTATCTTGTGGTATACATTAAATTTATAAGTTAACTTTTATGTTTATAACTTTTTAAATTATTAGTTTAAAAAAATTAAAATATAAATCTATTTCGTGCAATTTTGAAAATTCATATTAAAAAAATACAAACTTGATTAAATGATGTTAAATAAGTTATAACATACTTCTTCTTGTTATGAAAATATACAAATTTAAAAGTGATAATTAAGACAAATATACAATTTTATTATTAAATGTGAAGTGAAGTAATATTTAATAATAATTGATATAATGTTTATATTATTAATCCAATAATTGAAGTTACATTTCTTTTGATTTCAATTTCATAATTCAAAATACAATATGAATATATTACGCACACGGATTTCTAATCTTTAAAAATAAGAAGATTTCCAACCTTTAATTTTTTTTTTAAATTTTTTTTATCTAATTTAATTTTAAATTTGTTAAAAAATTTGATTTGATATGAATTACTTTAACTTTTTTATTAAATTGCTATCAACTTTTAGAACAACTTTCATTCTTATCGTAATTTTTTTTTCTTTTCATCAATTTTGATGGAAAAAATAATCACTGTGTTTTGTTTCCATTTTCAGAATTTACTTTTTAGAAAATTTTACTTTTTCGTTTTTTGTATTTTTTTTTCGCTAACTTTTTTTTATAAATATTTTAAGTAGTTTTTTAATGTTTAGACACACCTAACATAAATACACTTAAAAAGTATAATATTTGTGAAAATAATTAATAAAATATTCATTAAATACCAAAAATATAAAAAAAATTAAAAATAAAAATTAAGTACATTTTTCGTATTTTTGTGTATTTATTGATTTTTTAAAATATTTTTTCACAAATATTTTGTAACAACCCGAAAATTTAAGTTGTCCCTTAAATTTTATTATTATTTTCTTATAAATGATTTCAAAAAAATAATTTTAACTTTATATTATTATTCGATATTATTTTCTAAGTATAAAGATATTTTTATTATATTTTTTTATATATTTTTCTTAAACCAAAATACATTGGCATCGTTTGGGAAGGTTGGTGGAGGCTAAATTAGCCACTAAATGACAAAAGAGGCTTATTTAGCCACTAAAGGACAAAAAAGCCACTGTTGCTTGGCAAGAAGAAACGCTAAGGGAAATTTACAAAACTATCCCTCATGAAAGAGGGGCATGCGGCGGTGGCAAAAAAAAAAAAAATCCCAAAAAGCACATTTTCCTAGAAAAAACAAAGAAAGTTGAAAAAACAAAAATTAAAAACATTTTTTTTTGTTAAAATATTTTATAAAAATAAATTCAAACTCTATTTTATAAAAATAGTTTTAAATATTTGAATTTTTTTGTTATGTATTTGGTTATGATTTGAGAGTAGAGTTGTGAAAGTAGTATGGAGTTTCAAGTTATGTGTTTAGTTATGAGTTTTAAAAATAATTTATTACTTGAGTTTTATTTTATGTGTTTGGTTACGATTTGAGTGTAGAATTGTTTTTAAATTTAAAATATTAACATTTTAAATTATTTAAATTTTTTTGTTAAAATAATTTTTTGAATATTTAAATTTTTAATACATTTCTCTTTATAAGTTTTTTAATTTTTAGTTTACCATATGATAGTAGTAAATTAATACACGAATGTTTTATTATTATTATTATTAAAAAAATTAAAATTAAAATACAAAACACATGAAAAAACCATTTGCAAAAAAAAATTAATTAATTAAAATATACAGGATAATAAAATAAAACCTCACTTTTTGTCATTTTACAGAAAATGAAAAAAAAAATTTAAAATTAAAATTAAAATTAAAATCAAAATAAAAAACCCCTTGAAAAAACCATTTACAAAAAATAAAAAAATAAAAAATAAATAAAAATCAGTCCATTCATGGCTAATCTGACGTGGAGGACAAAAGAGGCAATAAGGTCTATTCTACAAAAAATAGTAGAAGGGCAGTTTTGTAATTTAACATGAAGCCACCTCACAAAAAAATCAAAAAGTCAAAAAAATCAAAAAGTCTTTCTAAAACCAGACTTTTTAATTCCAGACTAAAATAATCAAAAAAGTCAACAAGCCAAAAAACCAACCTACAACCCAAAATCAGACTTTTTAGCCCCAGATTAAAATAATCAAAAAAGCCAACAAGCCAAAAAACCAACCTACTACCCAAACAAAGGCTTCTATACAACAACTTACATGCGTCCCAAACCGTTTTGCTCTGCACGCCACCTTCACTATATATATATAGGATTTTTCTATGATACATGAATGTGGTTTTCATGTATCATACATAAATAATTTTGGACCATTAGATCTAAAAGTAAACTAAATCTAACCATTGATTGATAATAATAAAATCAGGTTAAGAAATCTAGGTGCATCCTCATCTTCCTAACTCTCTTATTCTCACTCTGTTGTCTAGTGTCTTTTTATATAGAAAATTTTGAGTTTAATTTGAAGTATTTAGTAAGTTACAGGGAACTAAAGATAAAAGTTAGAATTAAATTTAAAGTGAGTTATATTATACTTTAAGTCACCATAATATATGTTATATATGTTTTTTTCATAATTTATTTTACACAATTTATATTTTATAAATTATATTGATATTTCAATTTCGTTGATTATTTTTTGCACTCTATTTACTTAAAATGAAACTCATTGATATATTTGTTTAAATTTTATTAATTATTTGACAATAATTTTATAAGCAATTATTTTGTATAAGTACTACCACGGCAGTCCCATGCCTTGAGGGACTTAAATAAACCATTAACCCTCTGATTAGTCACTTTGTGACTTTCTGTTTGTCATGGATCCACTAATCCTCTGGTTTCTGGTGTGGAGCAAAGTGTTGTACAGAGCTAAGTGTTACATTATTGTGGGAGTCACCTCTAGAGTTCGTACGAGCCACCTCTTGAGTCCATACATCTGTTATGTTCTGTATTGTGGTTATGATTTCCAGTGTGAAGCAAAGTGTTATACGAAACTAAGTGCTACACTATGGTGGGAGCCACCTCTGGAGTTCGTACGAGCCACCTCTTGAGTCCATACGTTCATTCTGTTTTGTTCTGTACCGTAGTTATAATATTTTGTTTATATGATTTCTATATTATATGTCAAATGATCTCTGTATTTTAATATCAAGCTTGATTTACCCAATAATTATCCATGGTGATTTTATACCCTCATGTTCTCAGTACAATATTTATCACTCTGCCATGTGCTTATAATTGTTTACCAATTTTCAAGAAATAATGTAATTTAGAAATAGCTTTTAGAGAGTCTTTGACGCGAGGTTGCGGAATAAAGACACACAACACTTTTGTAGTATCTATAATTATATTCTTCATATGTAAACATCGGCATTTTTGGTCAATAAATTTTGTTATAAAAATAGAAATTCCAATGATTATTTTGGTACCCTCACTTAAATATTTTTTTTCGCTCGTGTTTAGTAATTTGTTTAAGCATTGGCCGGAGGTAACTTCAGTTACTAGCCATCATGATACTTAATCCTTGAGTCATGCTTATTTACTATCTAGACACATCCAAGTAAGGTGCATCTACAAAAATTAAAAAATTGCTCAAAATTTTAAAAATATTCACTAAAAACAAAAACAAAAACAAAAAAAACAAAAATTTAAAAACTCAATATTCAAAAAATTAAATTTAGAAAATTGAAACCAAACACGCTATAATTTCCAACGCTTCATCTTTTTAAATTTTTATCAAATTATAATTTGATAAAAAAAAATATTAAGGGTTGAAAATTCTCTTAATTGGAATTATAGTGAAATAACATCTTCAAATAGTGAAAGTTTGAGTATTTGGTTAGTTGAAATGTATAACTTGATTAATTCTCTTCTCATATTTGTATAAAAATTGGCATTTAGCACACTATTATAAATCAGATTATGGAAGGTTTTTTGAGATGTCAAATATTTTCCATTGGTAAATATCTTACCTATTAAAAAAAAATGTGTAACTTTTGGATATGTATTTCTCAATTTTTTTGTTGACATAAACAACTGATATTTCAATTTAAAAAAAAAAAAAGATTGGATACTATTATAAATCAGATTATGGAAGGTTTTTTGAGATGTCAAATATTTTCCATTGGTAAATATCTTACCTATTAAAAAAAAAAATGTGTAACTTTTGGATATGTATTTTTCAATTTTTTTGTTGACATAAACAACTGATATTTCAATTTAAAAAAAAAAAAGATTGGATTTTTTGGGATAAAAGAAGCCTTCTAACTTGTCTATATACTACTTAAAATAGACTATTTTAATCATATAAAAAATAGAAATTATATTTAGAGATTATCCCTATATATTATCCACTATATATACAACTATAGTGGTAACAAATTAACTATAATATATATGAAAATTTATACTACATTTTCATTTTCAATTAATTGAATTATAATTGACAAACTAACAAATAGCAGTAATGGTATAATAGAATATAAAGATGATAAAAATAAAGAATACAATAATATTTAAAAGTTTTAAATTTACGTACTTATACCAAAATCTAATGTTATAGTAAAATCTTGAGTTCCCAAT